CATGAAAATAACTCAAGTGTTAACTGACAGGTCAGCTGATAGTACAGGGTGTATGTTATAAGAGAATATTATTCAGTCTTAAAAAAGAGGTCCCTGGTGGTGCAGGGCTGTAATCCACAACTTGGACTGCCATGAGTTCAAGGCTAGCCTGGGCTACATATGAGTTCAAGGTCAATCTGAACTATACAAAACAACACAACAAAAACCAAAGAAAGGAGGTTCTGTCATTCATTACATGTACAAACTGGGAGGACATTATGTTAACTGAGATACTAAATGGAAACTAAATAAAATGAATTCATAGAAACAGAAGGTAGAATGGGAATTACTAAGGTCTGGGAATACTGGTTAACAACAGTCACAGGATACAAAGACAAATATGGACACCTGAGGTACAGCATGGTGAATAAAGTTTAAAAACGTGCATTATGTACTTGAATTTACTGATAGTAGGTATAAAGTGTGATGACACACATACAAAAGTAACTATGGGAGGTGATGGATATATTAATTAACATGATCATGGTAATCTTTCACAATGTATATGTATTACCAAAATCATGTTCAGTATCTTAAACATATAAATTTTGTCAGTCATATTTTAATAAAGCTGGGAGAAAAAAACCATTATAAATTTGTTCATTTCATTGATATAATAAAGTTTATCTTTTTAAAAAAAGATTAAATATTTCTTTGCTTCTCAATGGCACAATCTCATGAAAACACACGCATATTTTTAAAAAACATGGCTTTTTTGTTCTCTTTTCCCTACCTGAAGCAAACTATTGTGTTTCTTTTCCTTCTTTTTCCTAAAGGGAACTATGGTCCTCAAATTGGCATGTATTTTTGTAGTTTATATTTCACAATTTTACTATATTACTGTATGTAGCCTGCATATACTTTAGCTTTAAATTTATATAAGTAATACATCTTTTTTTTTGTCTTTTTGCTTTTTATCGGTACCGGGGATCGAACTCACGATTGCCTGCTTGCAAGGCAGGCACTTATGCCGCTGAGCTAAATCTCCAGCCCCAAGTAATACATCTTTAGCTATTTATTTTCTCCTTCAACATCCAATGTTGGTTAGCAGTCTATGTTGATAAATCTAGACTTGGTTCATTTATTTTCTGTGTGTGTGTGTGTGTGTGTGTGTGTGTGTGTGAGACAACATTTTATTATGTAGCCCAGGCTGGCTTTGAACTTGTGGTAATCTTGCCTCAGCCTCCCAAGTGATGGAATTACAGGTGTGTGCCACCAACCCTAGTTTTCATTTAACTTTTACTAATTAATTAAAAAATGTTATGGGCCAGGGATATAGCTCAGTGGCATAGTACCTGCCTGACAAGTGAAAGGTTCTGCATTCAATTCCCAATACCAAAAATAAATAAATAAAAACAACTTATGTACTATTTCTTTATTCTGTTGTTGACTGGAATTGAGACTGTTTCCAATTTTCTGCTTTACTGTATGTCAGGCACATATACACCGTATCTCTTAGATACATTATAGGTTTCAAGATATAACCAGTTTTTATCTTTACTAATAAAATTGCTCCCCAAGGTAGTTACCAATCACCCTCTTCTGTTTGTGTGGCAAGGTCTTGCTACATACTTTAGGCTGGTCTTGAACACACAGCCATCCTCCTGCCTAAGCCTCGTGAGTACTGCGATATACATCATGTCCTACCATGCCTGGCCACCAACTCATACTTTTATCAACAGTGTGTGAATTCCTTTAACTTCCTCCTTACTGACATCTGGTATTTTATTTATTTATTTATTTATTTATTGGTCTTTTTTTTTTTTTTTTATTGGTACCGGGGATCGAACTCACGACTGCCTGCTTGGAAGGCAGGCGCTTATGCCACTGAACTAAATCCCCAGCCCCAACATCTGCTTTTTTAGAAGGCTTTTTATTTTGCATATCTAGTAGGTACAAAATTGCTCTTTATTAATTTCATTTGTAATTTCCTGATTATTATTGAATTTGAGAATCTTTTCATATGTTTATTAGGACTGAGTTTCCTCTTTTGAGAACTATTTTTATGGCATCTATCCTTGTATTTTATAATGCTCTCAGCCATATTAGCTTCAAACATTTCCCTACTATTTCGACTCTGTTTATAGTATCTTCTGTATGATACGAGTTTTAAATTTTGATGTAGTCAAGTTTATTAGTACTTTGCTTTATGGTTTATCCTTTCCATTTTGTTCAATGTTAGGAATATTGTCTTATTTTCCCTAAAATAATGTCAAAGTTTTCCTTTCATATTTTTTACATAAATCTTGAGCAACATGTAACAAGGATCCAATTATTTCTTCAAATGGTTAACAAGTGAATAAACATAATTTAATGAGTATATTACTCTTTCCCCATTGGTCTGAAATGCCACCTCAGCTATTTATGGTTTCCATAAATATATATTATGCCTTAGTTCTAGTTTCTCTTCTTGCTTCATTATCTGTCCCTACATTTAAAGCATGTAGTGTTATAGTTTTATAATAAATAAGGCAATTCATCCTTCTTTAAATTGTACTGGCTCCTCTTGGTCATTTATTCTTCCACATTAATCTTAATACTTAGGTAAGGCATGAAGGCACACATCTGTACTCCCAGCACTTGGGAGGCTGAGACAGGAGGATTGTTGCAAACTCGAGACCAGCTGGGCTACAAACTGAGCTCAAGGCGATCCTGAACTGCATAGCAAGACCGTGTCTCAAAAAGACCACAAAAGGGGCTGGAGATTTAGCTCAGCGGCATAAGTGCCTGCCTTGCAAGCAGGCAGTCATGAGTTCGATTTCTGGTACCGATAAAAAGGAAAAAGACAAAAAAAAATGACTTACGAAGTTTCATAACAGATCCTATTAGGATTCCAATTGAATTATACTTACAGATTAACTTTAGAAGAACTGACATCTTAGGATTCCTCAACATGTCTAATACATTTCATTTATTCATGTTTTTCTCTTGTGGCTTTCAATACATTATAAAGACTTTTCAAAAATATTTTATTGGGCTGGGGATTTAGCTCAGCGGCATAAGCGCCTGCCTTGCAGGCAGGCAGTCGTGAGTTTGATCCCCGGTACTGATAAAAAGGAAGAAGACAAAAAATAATTTTTATTTCTGGCACCTGCTGTTCAATACACACTCTTTTGTTGTTGTTAAAGCTCAGCTAAGACATCATTATTTCTATAACACTTGTGACTTTTCAGGTTTATCTCTATGTTCCTCCATGCTCTTTACAGGACCACAAGTTGTGCTACTGAGCTGGGGACAGTGGCAAAGACTTATAATCCTAGCATTTGGAAGGCTGAGACAGGTGGATTGTCATAAGTTTAGGCCAGCCAGGACTATATAATGAGACCCAGTCTCAAGGAAAAAAAGAGACATTTGTGCTAGTTGTAGAGGGTACACTGATGAATGTGCCTAGCTTCAAAGAGCTTTCATTCTAATTAGAGACACAGAGCAATAAATACTTATAATTCAGGGTGACCCAGGTAATTATATGGGAGGTATAATGTACTATGGGAATATATAAGAGAAATACCGAATTCAAACTTGGGGAACAGCTGGATTGGGGAGAGAGAAGGGTATCACATACTGCTTCTCAAGGAGGTAATATATAGATTAAAACCTGTAAGAACAGAAATCAGAAAACACAAACTAATATCCTTGTTTTGGTTTTGATTGTATTAGAAAAATTATCACTATTAAACTAAAAAACTTTATTTTTGAAACATACTTCCCTTCTTGGCCTCTCAGACTCTGTGAAAAACACTACTTGCTCTGTGGTTCTTCTTACCTCCTTGTATCTTGGTATCCTCCTAGTTTTAGCATCCTCTTTCCTGTTTTAACCTAAGTACTATTCTTGAAGACTTTTCCATGTCTAAAGTTTCAAATATGATTTATACACTATGGAGTCTTAACAATTTTGCTTTTATTCCAACTACAAAGAATTTCAAACCACACTCTAGATGTCTCTAGCCACATGTTCCATAGAATCCTCAACTTTTGGACATGTTAACATATGATCTATCTATATATGGTGATACACGACCAACATTCAGTTGACAGCATTACTGTTCATAAGTGGTAGAAATCTCAGTCAATAATCTGAATCTGTGTTGGAGGATATGACCTCTTTCTTTCTTTCTCTTTCTGTGTGTGTTTTTGAGATAGGGTCTCACTATATAGTTCAGCCTGGCCTTGAGTTTACTTTGTAGTCCAGGTTGGCCTTGAACTTGTAATGATTCTCCTGCCTCAGCCTCCCAAGTGCTGAGATTACAGGCATGCACCACTGTGCCCAGCTTTATATGATCTTCTTGGAAAACACTTCACACAATGACTATACCTGAAAGTTTTTTCAAAGATTAAAAAATTACAGTAATTTTGAGACCAAGTATTTTTTGTTGGGTAATATTTTTCTTAGTTTGTTAAGTTGGCTAGGTTTCTAGTTGTCATTTATATAATTAAGCACTAACTGAACTGTTGCTATGAAGATATACTGTACATAGAAAGTCCATAATCAGCTGACTTTAAATAAGGGAGACTGTCCTGAGTAATGTAGATAGACCTGATTTAATCAGTTAGCCTTAAAAATAGGACTGAAACTTCATTAAGCGACAGAGGAGAAATTCCACCTATAGATAGCATCTTTACATTGTGAACAAGAGTTCTAGCTTGCCCTTCCAGATGCCTACTCCAATGATTTCAGATTGGCATTACTACTCCCTACAATTGCATAAACCAAATCTATGCATCTCCTTTGTCTTCCTTGGTTGAACCTTGACTGATACATCATATTTTTAGTTTACTGCAAAGATAATTCCTTCAACAACCTAGTAAAACTTTTAGACTATTTGTTTTCAATCAGTTCCATGTACCAGTAACTACACCCAAGTTTTTTTCTGGACATGGTTTTTAAATTTATTTTTTTAGCTTAATCCTTGGAATGTATTTCCTTCCTCTCCATCCCACATTAGACCATCACCGTCTCTTACCTGAACTAGTGATTGAAAAGCCTCCTAACTGGCTTCTCAGATTAGTTTTTTCTCCTCTATCTATTTTCCACACTGCTGCCAGAGGTCTCTTTCTGGAAAACAAATATGATCATGTCACTATCCTTCTTACAAACTTTTGAAATCTCCCTAGCTAAAATGATAGAGATAAGTTTGTTTTGTATTTAATTTGTTTTAGTCTCTTATTTCCCTCGATTATCTTTGCATTTAATTTTCTTATTTTTCTAACTTGTTGATTGAGATGATTGCTCAGGTCACTGATACTTTCTCCTTCTGCAATATGTATTTCAAGTTTAATTTTCTCTAAGCATTGCTTTAGCTGATCATATCAGTTCTGATACACACTATTATGCATAATCCTTTGGTCCCAAATTAAGATTTCTTTTGTGATTTAACTGATGGGTTATTTAGAAATTATTCCTTAATAATTCCCAAAGCTAGAAGTCAAGATGCAATAGGAACATAGTAACAATTTAGTTCTAAAGTTTCCCATCTTTCTCCTAGAACCTGTGCAGAACAAGCAAGAATATTAAGAGATAATAAATAAATAAATAAATAAATAAACAAACTAAAAAGATAGTAAGCATATATCTTCATTAAAGCCAAGAGATAATAAACCAGAAAAATGCCAAATAATAAAGTAAATATTTCCAAAGTACTTGAGGCTAGTGAAACCCATGCAAGAAGCCACATCTCAGCATGGGAGAAAATGACAAGATATATAAAGGAGACTAGTGGGAGAATAGTTAATATTCACTCTCAGAAAGAAACAGTTCTATTTTAAGTGAAAAATGTAATATTTAGAACTTCAATTAAGTGGCGGAAATAGAGAAGGAAGTAGAGAAAAAAGGAACAGAAAGTATTATGAGAAAGAGGAGGTCACAAATGACAGTCGCAGAAAAGACTAGCATGCAGTTTTGTAATTTATTTTGAAGCAATTTCAAATGTATAGAAAAGTTATAAAAATAGAATCAGCTGAATGTGTGGTGCACACCTGTAATCCCAGCACTCGGGAGGCTGAGGCAGTAAGATCACTATGAGTTTGAAGCCAGCCTGGGATACATAGCAAGACCCTGTCTTAAAACAAAGCAAAACAAAAACCCAATTGTGTAACTGTGGCAAATTCTCTAATTGTTAACATTAAAAACAGGCAATTTAAAAGGCAAAGCAATATCCTTTGATAGTACAATCTAGGAGTATTCATAGCTGGTACTTCACACTACTTAATCACTTAAGTTCCTGAGAGGCATAGATGTGACTATATTTTAAAGAATGAATTCATCAGAATAAAAAAGATGAAGGACTTAAGCAGAGACACCTGGAAAAGTATCTTGTTCATAAGGTGCAACTAATGTTCTTGCCCAAATCGGAAAGGTCCTGCTGATAGATGGTTTGGGAGGATGTACATCATTCAAATATGAACAAAAAATTTTACTAGGCACACAAACAAAGATGCCAGGTAAAAAAAGCAATGTAGAATCTGACAAAAACTCAACAGACACTATCATCATAAAGTAGATGAAAGTCACAACTCTAATTTTTAACATAAATCCTAAAAATTCTTAATGCAGCTATGAAAAAGATCTCAGACATTTAAGAACTCCAGGAAAAGATAGCCAGTCAATTATTTTCTTTTAAAATCCTGAAATGTCTCCAATGCTTTGGTTTTATTCTTTACTGTTTAGTTCAATTTTATTATAACTGCCAATTCTTCTTAAAATAGCAAGAGGCAGTATGGTAACCATTGTTGATCACCTTAAATTTTGTTTTTACATTATCTATTATGTCCATCCTTTTGATTTGACTGACTCTGTTCTGATGTATTGCATTTGGTTTTACTCTCTTCAAAAAAAGTAATAAGAACTGTGGGAGTAATATAACCCAAAATGTGTAATTGTCATTGTATAAAAGAAAAGAAAGTGCTCTAAAGGTTATAACTGAATATATGTTTAGTGTATAAGATAGATAACCATATTACCGAGTGTTTTTTGGATCACTGAACAAAACTGTTTGCACTCTCACTGTTTCAAAGTCCACTTTATATGCTTCAGTAATGTAACTTGAACAACTATTTCTAAGATGAGAATATGTAATCTATTAACTAGTGATTTCTTACTGTTTATTTTTTAAATTTTGTATTACTTGTACCCTTTTTCTGGTTTTTTTTTTCCTTTTTCTCCTTAAATTAAAAAAAAAAAAAAAAAAAAAAACCAGCCAGTCAAAGGGAGGTAGTCTAAAAAGTATGGCAGAAACAGCACAGAAATGGAAGAAACAGATTTTTTAAATTAAGAGGAAAAAGAAAGACAAATTTGCAATAAGCACGGAGTGGTTAAACAAAAAGGCAGAGTAAAGAGCACACTTGGTGAACATTTTAAAAAAGAAACTAAGGTGATAGATTTCTTTAAAAATATGACTTCTGATCTCATGTTCTAGATACATTTGATTCCAAACAACAAAGAAAAAAAAATCTTGTAAAATTGTTGGAAATAAATTATTTCCAGCAATTAACAAAAAAATCAAGGCTGGGTGTAGTGCTGCATGCCTGTAATTCCAGCACTTGGGAGGCTGAGGCAGAAAGATTGTAGTGAGATCCAGGCCAGCCTGGACTACATATTGGGAGGTCAAGGGTAGCCTGAACTACAAAGCTAGGTCCTGTCTCAAAAACTCAAACAAACAAAAAATCAAATTAGCATTATACTTCTGTACTGGACAGTCAATATCAGAACACAATAGAAAAATACCTATTAGATACTCAAAGAAAATATGAGCCAGTAATTTTATATTTAACTAAACAGCTCTTCGGGAACACTATATAAACAATATGATATGCAAAATCTCAATTCTTATTCATATGGCCCTTTCTTGAAGAGATAACTCGAGAACAAACTAAAACCAATAAATGACATGAAAAATCTCAGCGAAAAGACTGCTAGTGAGCACCAATATACTGAAGTGAAGATTAAAAAAAACCAAATGTACATATAGATGACAGAATGGAATGAAACTGTTATATTCTAAGAATATAAGAATTATACTAGATACAAATAAATTATAGAATAGAAAATATAAAAGTAAAAACTACACAAATGCATCTTATGTGTAATAGGATTCAAACTTGAAAGTATTAAAATTTTAAGCAAAATTAAGAATAAAAATATAAGGAATAATATAATGTAATGTTTAAAACGGGAAGAAAAGAAGGAATGAAAAAATATATGTTTATTATTCATTCAAGGAAACGATTCTCCTTTAAGAAAGGAGAAAAAATAAAAAAGGAAGATGAACATATGAAGGAATAAGTATAAAGGTAACCACTGAATGGGAAGGGGGTCTTTTCTAATATCAGAATTATCATTTTAAAAGCAAAGGAAATATGTCATTTAAAGATTCAAAATATATACACTTATGGAAAAAAAAGAGTAAGTTTTATAAAACCAAAACTAAAAACTTCCTATCTGGCTTAACTCAACCATAAACAGAACAAATGACAAAAAAACAAAAAACAAATAACAACAAAAAAACCCAACCGACCAAACAAACAAACCTCAAAAAAACAAAACCTTAATACTGACTCAAATCAAATCCATCCTATGCTGTCATAAAGATGTATGTGTAGGCCTGGGTATAGCTCAGTTGTATGGCACTTGCCTATTATGCAAAAAGCCCTAGGTTCAAATCTCCAGCACTATAAAAACAAAAAAAACACAACACAAAAATAGATATATCTGTGGTTCGGGAAGTCTTTTTTTTTTTTTTTTTTTTTTGTCTTTTTCCTTTTTATCAGTACTGGGGATCAAACTCACAACTGCCTGCTTGCAAGGCAGGCGCTTATGCCATTGAGCTAAATCCCCAGGCCCCCTTTTGTTTTTTTTTGTTGTTGTTGTTGTTTTTTTAAAGGAAGTTTTATAGAAAAGCAAAACATGAAGAATGCAGCATAGTGGCAGGCGGGGTGCTTGCAAAGCACGCCCTCGCCCCTGGGTTCAATCTCTAACATAGTACCCTTCCCCCAAAAAGTGTTTTAAACAAAGGAAACTTAAAGGCTAGGATAAAATTCACAAACCAACAGATTACAATTCTTCCATCAACCTACAAATTTGGCCAAAATGAATGTCATCTTATCACTATAAAGATTACAAGTCACAATGAAGAATGAGTGCATGTGCCTCAAATATTACAATTCAACATTCATATAGCAGAAATTATAACAGACATAAAGAAAAACATGAGGAAATTTAAGATTTTTTCTAGTCTAAGAGAAGAAATAAATACAGAAGTAAAATGAGCAAATAGCAGTTGTGAATATTAATCTATTCTACCATAATAAATTAAAATATCTATTCAACTATCACAAAAGCTAACCATGTACTAGGCCATTAAAAAAAACCTCAATAGATTATAAAAATAGAAATACAAGTCAGATGGGCAATGTGTGCTTGTGTTCCCATTTGCTTGGTACTCGGGGATGGTGGGATCACTTTGAGTCAAATGGTTCAAAACCAACCTAGGAAACACCACCAGTGTCTTTAAAAGGAAAAAACACACACAAAAAAACTCCAAAAACTACTACCAACCACAGTCTCTGATTAACAACACATAAAACTGAAAATTCAAAACAAAATCAGACAACTAAAAGGCCTTCAGTCTAAAAATTTAAAAATTTTCAATACGTGCGTCAGGGGAAATAAAATGAAATAAATGGCATTTCAAGTATATGATAAAATACTGCACATTAAAAGCTTTGTAATAAAACTAAAACAGTGATCAGAAGTGAAGTCAATGTTTTAAATACTTTGTTTGATTTTGCTTTTGAGACAGGATCTCACTATATATTTCAGACTGACCTCAAACTTTTTATGTAGCCTAGGCTGGCCTGGAACTCTTGGCAATCTTCCTGCCTCAGCCTCTTGAGCACTGGGCTTACAGGTACGCACCACCACATCTGGCCCTGTTTTGTTTTTGGTACTGGGTATCAAAGCTCAGTGTTTATGCTGCTGAGCTAAATCCATGGCCCTGGCCCTGTTTTTAATACTTTTACTAATGAGAAAAGGTGAAAGGAAGTTCTTAAATAGTTTAAAATAAACAAACAAAAAAAACTAGTTTAGTCAGTTGAATAAAAGTAGAGGAGCAATACTGTTAAAAACAAAGAAGAAATTAAGAAGATACAAATAAAGCCTAGGCCAAGCAAGGTAGCACATGCCTATAATGTCAGCCTTTGGGAGGCTGAAGCAGAAGGATCACTGTGAATTCAAGGCCAGCCTGGAATACACGGCAAATTCAGGGACAGCTTGAACTACATAGCAAGACTCTGCCTCAAAAAAGGAAAAAGAAAAGAAAAGAAGAGTAAAAAAAGAAAAGAGGAGGAAAAAAAAAAAGGAAAAGAAAATAACCAAAAGAACTTTTTAAAAAAATTTAAAACTTTTTTGTTGGGAGAAAAAAAATATTGGTAGATTAAACACTAGCTATTCTTATCAAGGAAAAGTAAAATTATACAAAGGAAGAAATTGAAAAACAAAGTAAAATTATGCAAAGTAAGAAACTGAGGAAAACCACAGAAAGAAAATTTCAAAAAAATATTAAGAAACTGCTTTGTAAAGCTCTATACAATTGTATTAAATATGGATAAAATCATTTTTTAGTGATCTCAGATAGCCTTGGTGAAATGATTTTCATGAAACATGAGAAGCAAGTCTTAAAAACTGGCTACATTTTGGGCTGGGGATTTAGCTCAGCAGCTCAAGCGCTTGCCTGGTAAGCACAAGGTTGTGAGTTCAATCACCTGTTAAAAAAAAAACACCTGGCTACCAAACAAAATGTAACAAAGAACACCAGGCCATACAGTTTTATAGGGAAGGGCCAGGGATGTTAGCTCAGTGGCACAAGTGCCTGCCTGGCACGAGCAAGGTCTTGAGTTTGAATTCCAGGACCAAAAAAATGTTTTGTAGGGAAATTCTCCCAAATTTTTTTCTTCTTCTTGTCTTTTTCCTTTTTATCAGTACCAGGGATCGAACTCACAACTGCCTGCTTGCAAGGCAGGCGCTTATGCCACTGAGCTAAATCCCCCACCCCCCAAATCTTTTAAGGGCTGAAAATTTCAATACTATGTGAAAGTTACTGTACACTGTAGAAAAAGGAAACATTCTAAATTTTAAAATAAAATATAGTATAAATATCAAAACGAAAGAGATTGCATATACAAAAAAGAGAAGATTAATTTTACTTTGGGATTTTAATTTAAAAAGTAGGTATCAGTAAACAATGCAATATCACATTACAAAAATTTAGGAATGTCAGTTCAGTTCTGTATTTAAAGAAAAAATCAGAAATGTATCATTAGTTCAATAAATACTAAAAAAGCATATGACAAAATTTAATATGCATTTGCTATGGCTTGCATTTAGATGCCTCCCCGCCTGTCTGTAAACCCTGAAAGGTCACATGTGAAGCTTTTCAGAGGTGGTTGGATCTAGGGTGTGTGATAATGAGATTAAGGATGTGATGCTGGGATTCAGTGATGGGAGTGCTACCCACCCTCAAGTTAGGTAGACTGGATAGAATATAAGGGACAGAAAGTGGGCTCCTGCTACCACTTGCTGCTGCCTCAATACTTCAGTGCTTTGCTGTTTCTCCTCAGTGATGCCTCTCTGCCAAGGCACCCTGCCTTACAGCCAGCTATGAACTGAAACCTCTACAAACTGTGAGCTAAATAAACCTTTCGTCCTTTAACTCTGGGTGTTGGGTATTTTGTCTCAACAAGAAAAGTAATTAAGACAGCTTTCTTGTTTAAAAGTACTTAGTAAAACAGGAATCAACAAATGCTCCTTAACATAATAGATACAAAAAATATGCATAGGTAGCACTTAATGCAGAGACACTGCAAACACTCTTTTTAAAGTGAGGAATAAAAAGAATATCAACAACAAAAACAGGATATCTAACTTATTCACTACTAGTTAATAATACTGTCTTTGTCTAAATTAGTCAAAATAAGTTGGTAAGAAAAAACTTAGAAGCATAAGAATCTAAAAGAAGAGCTAAGCCTAATACTATCTGCAGATGGTATGATTATAAACTACAAACCCCATGAAAATCACTTACAAATGCCATAAATAATGGAGCTCAGTAAAACAGAGATAAAAAGTTAGTACACAGAAACTAGGTCTTCATGTACGTAAATGATGTTATAATCCATAAGCCTATTTAATAGCAAAAGGCAGAAAATATTTAGAAAAAATAAGCAAAATTTATGTGGAAAAGCTTTAAAAACTCTCCTGAAGGAAGCAAAATAGACATTCTATGTTCTTCAACACAAGAATACCTTAAAGATGCCATTGTATCTTAACTTAATTTATAAAATAAGGTGACCTCAATAAAAACAATAACCTGTTCACCACCCCCTCTAAAGTTTATGGGGTAAAATAAGAATGGCCTTGTAAAGTCCTAAAATTTTTCTTATGAGATTAGCTATCAGATATTAGAAGTCATAAAAGAGGGCTAGGGGTTTAGCCCAATGAGTGCTACCCTGGCATGCACAAGGCCCTGGATTCAATCCTCAGCTCAGAAAAAAATAGGGGAAAAAAAGCCATGATAGAAATAACTGACTGCTGGGTGTGGCGATACACACCTGTAATCCCAACACTTGGGAGGCTGAGGCAGGAGAGTTGTAGCAAGTTTAAGACTAGCCTGGGCTAAAAAGTGAACTCAAGGCCAGCTTAAACTGCACAGTGAGAGTCTGTCTTAAAAAGCCCAAAAAGATCAAAAAAGAAAGAAAGAAAAAAAAAGAAATACATAAGTATATCTCTGTATGATTGTATATAACAAGTTTTTGTGTGGCAAAAAAAAAAACCCTACAAAAATCTCTACCATACAAAGGGTTAATCTTAATTTAAAAAGTACCCTCAGCAAATGGGGAGACCAAAAATCCAACAAGAAAAAAAGGGTACAGAACAGCAACCAGCAGTTCATTAAAAAAGTGGGGAGGGGGTGTGGCAGCAACTCAGTGGTGTCAGTTCATACTTGTCCAGTATGAATGAGGAACTGGTTTTGATCCCCAGCAATTAAAAAAAGGAGAGAAAAAAGGGAGAGAGGGAGAAAGAAAGGAGGGAAGCAGACAGAAAGAAAAAAGGAAGGAAAGAAAGAAGGAGACAAAAGTCTTTCATAGGTGAAAAGGTAGCCAAATACAAATTAAAAACACATAAGGAAACCATTTCTTGCAAATCTGATAGATAAAAATCTAAGAATTTGATAATTCTTGTGATAGACATAAGAAAATAGGTATTCTCACTCATTAATGCAAAATATTGATGACCTCTGTGCAGGACAATCTGGAAATAACAATAAAAATTACAAATACATTTATACTTAACCCATGAATCTGACCTCCAAGAATTTATTTTACAGATATATCAAAATATATATGAATTGATGTTCTGAAATGGCAATTTAGAATGGTCCTAGCACACGTCTAAAAGGGACTGGTTAAACATGTCCTCGCATTTTCACAATGGTAGATTCTGCTGGAGAAAGATGAAACTATGTACTGATCTGGAAAGATGAAGGATCCTTTGACAATCAGCCAATTCCAGATATTGGACAGAAATATATGATAGCCGGACTATTCTGCTACGCCAGGAAGCAAGGAAGATAGGAATCAAACATTAATGAATTAGCAAAAGAATACTACACTCTCTTAAACAAACCACATCTACAAAGAGGTTAGGAACCACACTCACACTCAAAAACAAACAAACAAAAACAGTAAAGAGAGAAAGAGAAATAAAAAACAAACTGAAAGAATACTATACTCTCCTACCTAAGAATTTCATCTAATAGAAAAACAGTAGCAGAATTTGATTAAGTTACCAATTGATAATCCCTAATAAAATACGTGATTTGAGTAACAAAGTTCAATAATCTCTAATTAATCTACAGGCTAATTCAGCATCACTAAAATTGGGATAACTAATACTGTGAATTTCCCAGCATGACAAAATAAAAAACATTTATGAAGTATTCTGAACCAGAACTGATGTAAACTTTGAGCTAATTTTCATTTTAAGGAAATACAGAGGATGGAAGAAAAACATGACGCAAGAAAATAAAAGACAATCTCAGGTTTGGGAGTTATTTTATAGGACAAGTGACCAAGTGTCTATCACAAGTTACTGATATGGAAAAAAAAAAAAAGAGGGAAGGAAATAGGACTTCAGATTAGAAAAGATATAATAATCAAATGTGGTATGTAGGTTTTGTTTGAATTCTGATTAGAATCAACTAACTAGAAAAAGACATATTTGAGAAAAATCAGAAAAATTGGATTATGAGAGGATATTAAAGGGGACAAAAATCAGTTTTAATTTCCTTACCTATAAAAACGGTATTGCTGCTGCGTAAGAAAATGCACAGGTTTTCTGAGGTATGTACTAAAGCAATAGGGATAAATAACATGCTGTCCAGAATTTAAGAAATTTAAAGTACAGAACAAAATGCACATAGCATAAGCAAAGTAGAAAAATCCTGACAGTCTGAATAATGGCTACACGTACAAAGTTTACAGTGTTCTCTTGACTTTTATGTAAGCTTGAAAATATTTGTAAGACAGTACCTGAAAAGAGAATGAAATTAGCAAAATCTTAGGTACCAGCAGCAGGCATAACACCAGGGGTCACTATGATACAGACTTTCAGATTATTTCTTTTTCTTTCTTTTTTGCTTTTTGAGACAGGGTCTCACTATGTAGTTCAGGCTGGCCTCAAACTCTTGGCCATCTTTTTGCCTCAGCCTCCCAAGTACTGGGATTACAGGCATGTGCCACCATGCCCGGCACCCTATTTCTTTACTGTATGTATTTTACAATGAAATGTTGACTTTGAGTTAAAAGGGATAAAAGTGAATTCATTGTAAGAAAAGACTTCTCAGATGATCGATCACATTAGTAATTTTATATTTGTTTTCATATATTTGCTTCATGTGTCGTCGCATTCCATGACAAATACTCCATAAAAGGTTCCTAAATAAAATGTAATAAACATACAAACATTTTTCCAGTTTGTCACATTTCCAAATATTAATTCAAGGCATCAGTGCACACATACACACACACACATACACAGCCCATACAGAAATCAACTATCCAATTCAGAACTATCCAATTCAGAATGTGGTGTTAGTTCCCTTACCGTCAATATTAAGCATCATTTTCCACATGGCAGGTCGAACAGATTGATGGAATCCAAACCATACTTCCCTGCCCCCTCCCAGAGGGTGGTCATATCCTTCTGGAGCTGAGAAAAAGGAACGCCCCACAGGTGTGTATCTACAAAAATTAAAATGGCAAGTTCAATCATTTCCTTCCTGTGTAAGTATTTAAGTCTTCAGAAAAATGAAGATTAAAGCACAAATAATTCATTATAACGATGCTCATAATTACTAATACATGAAGCTAAATGTTTTCCAAATTTATGAAGGCGAACAGGAACCATTCTAAATGAAAAAATCCAGCAACATCCTTCACTAAAATTATCCATTTTCAGAATTGCTAATTTACATGTTAATAAGTTTGATTTAAAATACTTCCTTAAAATAGTTTTTAAAAAGTAAACAGTTCCAGGCTGGGGATATGGCTCAGTGACACAGCACCTGCCTGGCAAACACAAGGTCCTGAGTTCAATTTCTGGTACAAAAAAAAAAAAAAAGTTAACAGTTTCAACTTTAAAAATACTAAATAAACAAGAAAATTTCTATAAATGTTTTAAAACATACTATTTTTCTTTAAGAAAACTACACACACACACACAACCTGGTATACATATATACAATGGAATGCTAGTGTGATTAAGAGCAATTTTGACATAATTTGACACTACTGTTTGGACAGTAAAAACTACTTTTAGAACAAAGCAATTTAACTATAGAAGTATATCTCAAAAAATATTAGTTACTAGAGGCTATAGCTCTATGAGAAGGCGTGAGACATTTTTCTGTGAAGAAGTCATTAGAACAGCTAAGCCAAAGGATGTGTATATATTTGCAAAAGTCAGAAAATTTTCTATAACATATGTCAATGAATTTATATGCATGCTATTTTTCTTCAACTGAAATCATCAAAATTTACAACATATGATGGTTAACAAGGGAAGGCCTGTACAACTCACTCTTAGGAGGAAAACCGTCACAGTGAAAATCTAAATAGAAAAAAAAGCCAGAAGCACCCACTTCATGGAGGGCAGATGTCGTAGCACCACATCAACGGCATGGACAGGGTTAGTGCTGATTGGCTTGTCTAATTCCAGTGGCTCAGGCAAGGTCCGTCCTGTCAGTACTTCATGCAGTAGGTGCCAACTCACCCGAGAGACAAATTTGATTGACACCTTGAAAGGTCGATCTTTTCCACCTTCCCCAGGTAATGTAACATCTAAATCTACCTGTTCACAGGTAAAGAGGAAAGTGGCAAATGTTAAAAGAGATAACTACAATTATCTAAAGTTTAACTTACAAAAAAACTCAACAGAAAATGCAAAAGTAAAATAATCAATCTTAATGTCAAATCAGTAGACTAAAATTTAAGTAACATGGTTATTCATGCCAGTATTATTTAATACTGCCAAATGCTGAAAATTACGTATATGCCCCAACATTTAGGGCACTATAAAATAAATGAAGATCTTTTAGAATTGCTATGGGATAATTTGCAAGCCATATTATTAAGTTAACAAAAGAAAGTACAAAGAATTACAAATAATATGACATCTTTTGTGTAAGGAATAAGGAGGAATAAAAAAATACTCATGTATTTGCTCACTTTTGCAAACAAAAACACAGGAAGCAGGAAGCAGAAAAAAAAAGAAACTGATTATTTTTAAAATATGGAAAGGAGTTAACTGGAAGAAGTAAGGGAAGAACAATTTTAAACACAGTATATTTTGGGGTACCATTTTGACATTTGCAAACATTAAAGTTCTACACAGCAGGACCGTAGTAGTCTCAGCTATAGGTGGTTGAGGTGGGAGTATCACTTAAGTCCATGAATCAACCCTAACCAGCCTTGGGCTGGGGATATTAGCTCAGCTGCACAGCGCTCACCTGGAACTTGCAAGGGTCCTGAGTTTGATTCCCAGGACAGGAAAAGAAAAGGACCACCCCGCCTGAATAATACAGTGAGACCTTCTTCTCAGAAAAATTACTAATTTATTTACTGGGGGAGAGGGAAGTCTATCTGAGACAAGGCTTTACTATGCAGTTCAGGCTGGCCTTGAACTCACTTTGTAAACCAAGCTGGTCTTAAACCTGCAGAGATCCTCCTGCCTCAGCCTCTCATGTGCTTGGATTACAGTCACACACCACCATGTCTGGCCTAAATAAATAATTTTTTAAAAAGTTCTACATATTTAAAAAGTTTTACAAAACAACAAGGATAGAAGGGAAAAAACTGAGACTAAGTATATAAGCAAAATTAAACTCAAATGTATTTTGAATGATTATCATAATTGCCTTGAAAGAAAGAAAAGGAAACATTAATGCAAGTACCTATGTACTGATTATACCCTGAGTTTAAGAGATAAGGATGGAGAAATGGTGGTTTGGAAGAAAAACTGCATACAAATGAAACAAACTCCTTTATTCCAGTATATATTGGAGCTTGAACCCAGGGCCTAATACATGCTAGGCAAGTCACTACCACTGAGCTACTTCCCTAACCACCTCTCTTTTTTCTTTTTAAATATGAGACAGTGTCTTGTTAAATTGCTGGAGTTGACCCTGAGCTTTCAATCCTCCTGCTTCCACCTTCAAATTGTTGGGAATACTGGCATGTACCACCAAACTTGGAGGCTGCTGCTTCTTTTTCCGGGGGTGCTAAGATCAAACCCTGGGTCTCACAAGTGACAGGCATAGCTCTACCACTGAGCTATCTCCCCAGCCCTAAAACCTTAAACTTGATGAGAAGCAAGAGCTTAAGAGTTTTCTGAAGGGATTTGGTCTAAAAGAGCTGGGATTGAGGAAAACAGATTGTTTGGTTCCTAAAGCTGCCTGCCTCCAGCACACAACTCTGGTGTGTTTATTTCCCCAATTACCAACATGTCTGGAGACATACTTCTTTCTGCTTAGATGTTTGCTACCCACCTGGGAACATAGACAGAGGAGCCTCTAGAGTGAGTACAGTACCCAACCAGCCCACAAGCCACACGACTGTTCAAGGCTAGTTAGGTGTACAGAACGAAACAAATCAAAACCTCTGGAGTGAAGGCAGCCTTGAGGCAGACAACACAGCACTGATTGGCTCTGGAACCCTGACTGGCAACAGAACACATCAAATTAAGAAATCTTTGCACAGCAAAAGGACAACCTACAGAATGGAAGCTTCTTGACTAGCTTCTCTTCTTGACTAGCTTCTCTTCTTACAGAGGATTTAATATCTAGAATATATAAAGAACTTAGAAAATACCACCAAAAGAATGGTATAATCCAGTCAATAAAAGAGCAAATGAACTGAGCATACACTCCTTAAAAATACAAATGGCCAATAATTACAGGGAAAATTTTTCAATGTTTTAGCCATCAGAAGAATGCAAATCAAAATTACATTGAGGTTTCATTTTACCTAGTCAGAACAGCTATCAACAAGAGCACACACACACACACACACCAAAATACCTATAAAGATGCATGGAAAAAAGGAATTCCTACACTGTCAGTGGAAACATAAATTAGCATGACATTATGAAAATAAGTATAAAGTTTCCTCAAAACCCTAAAAATAGTTGGCCATAGTGGCACACGTCTGTAATTCCAGCATGTGGGAGGCTGAGGCAGGGGGATCACTAAAGGTTCAAGGGCAACCTAGACTACACAGTGAGCTCAAAGCTAGCCTGAACAACAAAGCAAGACCCTATCTCAAAAAAACATATATACACACACAATGCACAAAAAAAACAAAAAAAACCCACATGCACACACACATACACACACCCCAAACAAAAACCCTAACAACCACCAACCAAACACAAAAACTATAAAACCGAACTATCATACAATCTAGGTATATCATTCTTCAAAATACACTTAAGGAAATTAAAGTCAGCATATTATAGAGATAGTGCTTGCTTTCCTATGCTTGTCATACCACAATTCACAAAAGCTAACTTTGAGAGTCAGCCTACCTGCTCACAAGTTGAAAAATGGATAAAGAAAATGTGTTGTATATATACACAATGGAGTATTTTTCAGTCATTAAAAAGAATGGAATCATATCATCTGCAGGAAAATGGATGGAAGTAGACGTCACCAAGTTAAATGAAATAAGCCAGACTCAAAGACAAGTACTACACGTTTTTCTTACTACATGGAATCTAACAACAAAAAAAGATGACATAAAAGTACAAGAGAGAAACCAGGCGAGGTGGCACACACCTGTAATTCCAGCACTCTCAGGACATGGAAGGCTGAGGCAAGAAAATCGTTTAAGAATTTGAGAACAGCCTGGGCTACAAAGTGAGCTCAAGGCCAGCCTGAACTACACAGTGAGACCATGTCTCAACAACAACAACAAAAAATCACAAGACAACAAAAGAGAAAAAGGGAGGAGGGGTGTAAGAGAGGGTAATAGAGAGATGGATATGAACATGTTATATGCATGTATGAAAATACCATATTGAAGCTCATACTATATAAAATTAAAAATACATTTATAAAGGGGACAGAACTAGAGATCATCATATTAAACAAAATAAGCCAAGCTCAGAAAAATAAGTGTCATGTTTTCCCTAAATGAGGTATGATAGAAGCCTACAGTGCATGTTTAAATTTAAAAATATTTACATTAAAAATATTTAAATTAAGAGGCATCTTGCCAATTAATCCCCCTAAAATACTAGCCCTTGCTTCAAATGTATTTATTCTATTTTTCTTGCCACTTTCTGAAACAGTTCTGCAAGCTCTCTTTTGCAAATGTCTTCAGTAGGGCCACTGCAGCAGTGCTGACGTCTTGAATAGATTCAATACGTTTACCCTTCACAGTCATTTTGACTTTGGGGAAAAGCCAGAAGTAGCCAGTGCCAAATCTCAGCAAATAAGGTAGACAAGTACACACTGTACTGTTTTTATGAGTCTGTCTTTCTGTTGGACAGCACCTGACATCAGTACTCACTGTGGTTTTTATTTATTTATTTTTTTAGACAGGGTCCTGCTGCATAGCCCAAGCCAGCCTTGAACGTGTGGCAATCCTTCTGCTTTAGTCTCCCAAATGCTGGGATTATAGGTGTATGCCACCATGCCTAACTCACTGTTTCTAATCATACCTAGTGACACCATTCACTGTATTCTTGATCATACTTCATGAAGATACCCACAAAAGATGATTTCTAGAACTGCTTCAGACAGTGGCAAGGACAATGACATAATTATGTTCTAAGCAAGAGGGAATACTTTGAGAGGGTTATGGAATGTGTCTCACTACAATAATTTTTTTCTTTTTTATGAGATAGGGTCTTGTCATGTAGTTTCATATGAAAATGCCACATGTAAAACACTTTTTTAAATGCTTAGAATCATATTAGGAAGGTAGTCCTATAACTGTTTTATCTTTATTTTCATTGTCTTGCAAGTTGAGTAAATTTTTCAAATGACTGAAACAATTAAAGGTGGATTGTGAAGCAAGGCACGGTGGCTCATGTCTATAATCCCAGCACATAGGAGGCTGAGGCAAGAGGATCACTGCAAATTAAGTGGCCAGCCTGGACTAAAAAGTGAGTTCAAGGCCACCCTGAATTGAAACCCTGTCTCAGAAAGAGAAGAGAAAAAAAGGAGGGGGGGGGGGCAGATTGTGAGAATATATAAAAAGAGTTACAAAGAACCTGAATAGACACCCAAACACATATAAGGTGCTCAGTATCACTATTTATCAGGTGAAACACAAATCAAAACCACGAGATAGCATCTCACACTTATTAGATGGCTGCTATTAAAAAAGGCCAGAAAGTAACTATTAGCATGAATGTGTAGAAATGGGAACAAACAATTGTACACTGTTGGTTGGAAAGAAAAACAGTGCTACTGCTTTGAAACACAGTATGGTCAATTTTTCTTTAAGTTAAAAATAATTACCTCATGATACATTAAGAATCTAAAGTATTCTCAAATAGATACTTATTTATACATCTATATTTGTAACAGGATTACTTAGAAAAGCCAAAATGTGTCTAACATGTTGATGAACAGCTAAAAAAGAATGTGCTATACACATACAATGGAATATAACTAAGCCTTCAAAGGGAAAAAACCCCAACATATGCTACAATATGGATAAAGCTTGAGGATATGATGGTAAACGAAAAGACAATCTATGATTCCACTTAACGAGGTTTCTTAGAGTAGTTACGCTCATAGTGTGCTGGCTCGCAGAGGCTGAGGGTTGAGGGCACTGAAGTTTTTGTCTAATGAATAAAGTTTCAGTTCAACAAAAAAAAAGATCATTTTGGAGATGGATTTTGCAGATGATCTCACAATAATATTAATGTACTTAATATCACTAAATTTTAGCCATTGTACCTTAAAATGGCTAAGATGCTAGTGTTATGTTATATGTATTTTACCACAATGTTTTAAAAGAAAGTATTTCCCCAGAAGATACTTGCTACAAGGAGAAATCTGGTAGTTATCTACTTAACCAAAGTTTACATAACCTATTCAAATTTTGTGCCTTTCAATATCAGGCACAAAATGGAAAGGATGCCTGTGTAACATTCGTACCAAAAATACACAAAAAAAAAAGAAAGAAAGAAAAATATAATTAGAATTATGCAAGGGTGAACGTGAGACAAACACCAATGGAGAGACATTCTGCAAAGTAACTTGCCTGTAACTCCTTCCCCCTCCCCTTGAGAAAGTGTTACCCTATGTAGTTCAGGCTGGCCTTGAACTCACTATGTAGCCCAGCTGCCCTCGAATTTGGAGTGATCCTCCCGTCTCAGCCTCCCCAAGTGGTTAAGATCATAGGCTTATGCCACTTTGCCTACCCTTGCCTATAATCTTCAATCATGTTAACATCAGGAAAGGGGAAAAAAAGGATAGAAAATTGTTCTATAATAAAGACTAAAGAGACAGGCAAAATAAATAAATAAATATATATATATATATATATATATATATATATACACATATACACACACACATATATAAATGATTTTGTAATAGTGGACTAGATTTTATGTCTACAGGAGGAGATATGTTATACAGTATCTTTAAAACAACCAAACAAATTGGAATATGGATTGTTGATTAAAGTATGTCGATGTTAAACTTAATGAAGCTAACAAATATACCATTGTTTTTATCTTTATTTTTAGTAAATACATATTAAAATTAAAGTAGTATGATATACACAATCTAATTGTTAATGATTCAGGAGAAATATGTATCAAATCATATATATAGCTAAAAATGGAGGTAAATAGTAAGAAAAAAATTATAAAACCAATGTGGCAAACATTAAGGATATTGGTGAATCTAGGTTAAAAAAAAATACATGAAAGTTCTCTATATGCTTGTTATAAACTTTCCCACCAAACTGAAATTATTTCCACAAAGAAAGTTTAAAAATTAAAAAAAGTTTAAAATTTTAAATATAGATTTATATATAGATTATATAACTAGTAACAAGTAATATAATTAATAGTAATAAGATTATTAAAATGATAATAAATTCATCTAAAGGGAGACACGGAAAAGTATACCTTTACAGTAAAGGAATGTAAATCTTACCCCAGTAGTTGCCACAGGAAGTGGATTAGCTGTGTAAAGGCTTCTTTTTCCATCATATACTGGTCTACGGTCTCCAAATATAGTAACTTTAAAATGCTGAACCATTGAGTCAACTACCTCCCTAAAGAAGGAAAAAAAATTCACAAAAAAATTAACTGAAGTAATTTCTAGTACAGTTGAAAACCATCAAATTTCAAAAGACATTCATTCATACATGATAAAGATTTTGCTTTCAGAACCATGACTTAGGATAGCAAAAAAAGACAATGCTGCTGGCAAAGGATGACACGTATTTCCCAAAGACAGAATAATGAATCCAGTACATTAATCATTCTGGGACAAAACTGACCTGCACAATACTCTCCTTAGACAGTGACTCAAAAATCTCTTTCATCAGCTGAAAGCATTCCCAGATATGCTCACCTCTCTTTCTTGAAGAGTAAGATGCATGCTCTATTTTGCTAAAAATAGTTCCTACTACTAATAGAGAATAGTGTTCTGTATTAGAATTCACTCTGTTGCATTATAATTATTATTTACTCATTAGTATTGTGATTTAAAAGGAGACATGGAAAAGTATACCTTTACAATACAGGAACATACATCTTACCCCAGTAGTTACCACAGGAAGAGCACTAGCTACGTGAAATAGTGCTGCCTCAATACTGTGAGGTTCTTGCGAGCAACAAACACACCTGCATTCCTTATACTTCCCTATCCTTAAAACCACGTCTAACAACAGCAACAAAAAAACAAACAACAAACAATAAACCCAAACCACATCTAGTCTGTAAAGATACTATGAAACTTCCTTTTTAACCAGCAAACTTTTTGATCCAATATACTCAAGAAGAAAGACATTCAAGACTCATATCTTAAAAAAAAAAAAAAATTGACCATAGAGAATGACATCAAATATCTATAAATCAACATTTATTTCTGGACACACATATTTACATAAGCAGTAAGAAGACATCTGGAAGGGTAAGTAATAAAAAAAAGACAACAGTGCTACCAGGCACTTGTAATCTCAGCACTCAGAAGGCTAAAAAGGAGGATCACCATGAGTTCGAGGCCAGTGTGGGCAGCACAGTGAGTTGGAGGCCAGCCTGAATGACATAGTAAGACAAGACCAAAACAAAGTAAGACCAGGCCAGACCGCATGAGAGGGTCACAGGGTGACTTCTATTTTGTTTCTATAATCTAAATATGTTACCATGAAAGCAGTACTACACGGTGTTGATATGAGTTAAAATGAGATTAAACGAGTCAAATACAACTCATGCAAGGGGGCAGGGAACAATGGAAAAAAATTAACATTTTCTATAACAAAAAAAATTAAGCTGACCTGATACACACAGTAACTTTCTAGATTACACATATTTCTCTCTCCCTTTTCTTTGTCTTACTAAACCTGTTTAGTAGGTCTTTCTTTTGACAACAAAGATTTGCTTTACCCTTCAGATCTTGGGTTCAGAACAAAGTTCAATGATTTTCTGCCATTTTTTCCTTTCATTGTGGCCATTACATTTTAATAGAATGTTTTGACTATTTTGTCATTTTTATTTATTTGTCATTTTTATATGTATTATTTATTGGTCTTTTTGAGGTAGGATCTCACTAGGCAGTTCAGGCTGGTCTTGAGCTTTCTTTGTAGCCCAGGCTGGTCTCGAATTCACAATGATCCTTCTGCCTCAGCCAAGTTTTAGGTCTGTTTTAAAGTTAACACTAAATTTAAACTTACTAATTTCTGGCAACTCAACCAAATCAATGTTGGCTATTAACAATGTTCACATATTTATTGAACTGAAACCAGTAATTTGGTATTACTTAAATGAGTATTGTTTAAATGTTGGAGGAGACAGCACTGGTAGGCAAAAAAGCATTTTAGTGGCTTAAAAAAACACCTTGTACAGTGTGTCCTTAATAAATATTCTAGAGGATAATTAATCTACTTTAATGAACTGCCAGAGCCTCTAAAGGAATCCTTCTAAAGTTGAATTCAATATATTTTCTCTAAGTTAAATCTGGTTTTCTTCTGATTGTTCCCCCTGTTTAGTTAATGATGCTTCCATCTTTCTGCTTACCTAGATTCAAAATCTGGCTCATCTCTTTACTTATCTAGTTGTTGGCTTCACCATTCTGCAATATTTAATAAACTAGTTCTTTACTTTCCATTCCCAATTAACACCATCTTAAATAAACATTTCAAATCCTAGAATTTGGATTATTTCTTGTAAGTTTCTTGGTTTTTATGTCTCAAGTTTTTCCTTCTCATCCTAATTTTAACACCGCTGCCAATTAAGTCCTTTACCTCCACTTTTATTGCTCAGGTAAAAAATGCTGAGTTAATCATATTCAGTTGGTGGCATATTATCAACTCGGCAATGCCCTTCTTTAACTGATTTCTTTCTTTCCATCTCCATTTCCTATTCCCATCCTTTTTTCCAGTTTCTAATGTGCTTGATGAACATCTTCCTGTTTTGTATGTATTCCTTTCAACTTCTACACTGGAGTTTAAAATCTACTCATGCTATTGAGGCACGCTTACTTAGTTCACTATTTCTTTTAAAAAATTACTTTTCATTATTTTCAAAAACTTTATGAAAACCTGTTGCAAACAATTTAAATATGGCTTAGTTCTGTTTCTGATTAAAGTATTCCACGTTTTCTATCCACTCCCCTGCAAGAAGCCTTAGTATCTAACTCCCAGCCACCCAAAACAACGCTCCAATTCATAATCTCTTTACATGTCTCCCATCAACCTGTATAGAAATTCATTTCTTGTTACATAGCTACAAAACAGACTGAGTCAAAATGAATTTTGTCAACTTTGATAAAATGAAGAACTGCTAAATTGCTCTTCAGAACGGTAACACTAATCTGTCTATGCTCCTTGATCTTCCCTGTTCCCTGTATCCTAGCTAAGAGCTGGCATTATCCATTCTTGCTTGGGAAATATATACTAAAAGCTTGACAGATAGATATAAACTAAAAGCTTGTTTTAATTTAGATTTCTCTTATTACTAATTCTTGGATGTGCCTGGTTTTCTTTTTGCACAATTCTTTATTTTCTTTGCTCATTTTTCTAACTGGGGATCCAGTCTTATTAAGTTGAAATTCAATAGAATTAATACATAAACAGGCTTTTAGTATTATAAGTATTTATTTCCACAATGTTAGCTGTTAACAATGCCCATGTATTTTTTTAACTGAAACCAATAATTTGATATCAAATTAATATTTTTTAATTTATGGCTTCAGGCTTCACACTTTTGAGGTGCTGTTTAAGAAATATTTCCTAGTATAAGTATCCCTTATTGGAAATGCTTAGAACCAGATATTCTTGAACCTTTACATACAGAGATATTTTGGAAGAGAGAACCCAAGTTTAAACACTTAACTTATGTTTCATGTACACATAACCTGAAGGCAATTTTATATATTATTAGTAATTTTGTGCACAAAACTTCATGGAGTGGGGCTGGGGATTTAGCTCAGTGGCATAAGCACCTGCCTTGCAAGCAGGCAGTCGTGAGTTCAATCCTCAGTACCGATAAAAAGGAAAAAGACAAAAAAAAAAAAAAAAAAAAAAAAAAAAAAACTTCATGGAGTGAAATCTTCCATTGTGGCATCATATTGATGTGCAAAAAGTTTCAGATTCGGGAGTATTTTGGGTTTTGGATTTTCAAATTAAGGATGTTCATCCTGTAATAAATCACACAATTAACTTAAGTTTCCTTGACTTCAGTAATATTATTTTGGGTATTAATTCACTTGAGGTTTCTCTTTATAAATAGTAAGTACTCAAACTTTATTTTTCTCTATATAGTTAACCAATTTCCCCATACCATTTATTAATCAGTATTTAACCAATCAATTTGTAATAGTACTTTTATTTTATTACATTCTCATATAAACCAAGTTGGCTACGTGTTTTCTATATTGTTCCAGTGGTCTATTTTTCTGCTCTTGGGCTAGGACCATATATTTTCATTGCTCAAAGGATGCTTTATTAACTTGTAATATGAACTGGGGCAAGTTCTCTCACTTTTTCTAAGCTAACTTGAACATTCATAGAACTTATTTTAGAATAACTTTCTACCCTAAAAAAATTATTAATACCAATAAGGAAAGACAAGCTACTAGGCTGATGTTTCTATAAGCAAGTATATCTCTGTTAGGTAAGAAATCTCCAAATAACACAAGAGACATGACTAACAGGCTAAAAACATAAATAATTGTTAAAAGCCATAATGAACTACATCAATGAACTAAAATGAAATATGGTAAGAACAACTATAATATGAACACTTATGTTTGAAAGCTTCAACTGCAATCATAGCACCTAAGAGGACCCCATGTTATCAAATTACGGAAGGAGGATTTAAACAACAAGTGCAAAATGAGCTAATGCTGTCACGGGACTTCCTCCAAATTAAAGAACTTAAGTTACATATATTTAAGTACCCACATAACAAGGCAGGTAACTACCCTACAATATATTACACAGGTCATTTCATATTTTGAAGTATACTGTTTAATTTGGGAACGCTGAAGACCATCAACAGTGAAGGTAGCAATCCTGATAGAAACTCATGTGATATAAGTAAAAATAAATCAAATTAAGGACTCAAAGTCTAAAATAAGACTCAAAGAAAATTACAGGACACTGGCTATTTTGATAGGTTGTCATGTGAAAAACTAGGTAGACTTTGGAACAAAAATTTCCAAGCTTTTCTAGCTATAGCTATAATTTCTAGCTATAGAAACAGACCTGAGTTTTTAGTTCCACTTTGTTCTTAAAAAACAAACAACAACAACAACAAAACACTATTTTGGTGGGGTGGTAGTGGTGATGGTGGTTTACTGAGGATCAAACCCGGAGCCTTTGCAATCCTAGCTACTTAAGATGCTAAGGTAGGATAGCAAGTTCAGGGTAGCCTGGTTGTTTAGTGAGAACCTGTCTCAAATTTAAAAAAAAATAAAAAGGGCTGAGGATGTAGCTCAGCTGTTGTATGTTTGCCTAGCATGAGTAAGTCTATGGGTTCAAACCCCACTGATGCAAAAGAGAAAGAAAGAAAAGAAAAGGTTTTCCAGATAACAAATGAACATATCAAA